ATTCGCGGAGGGTCTCTAGCCACCTCTACCTGCATGAGCCGACGGCCGATTCTTCGCCGCTCATGTGGACTCCGCCAAACCATGCAATTTACATAATGATACTTTCGAATAATATCACTTGAAATATGTATGAAAATAGAATTTCCAATCAATTGCATCCAGTGGTGGGAGGGGTGATCCCAACACTGGATTCCGAGTCCCGTGGTGAAAGTGCCACCACTGAACACTTCCGACACGGAACGCATCCGGATTTCGGATAAGTTAGCCAATCAGAATAAAGTTGTTCAGTGTTGAAACGTTCAGTGATCGTTCAGTGAAGTTGCCCGAACAGGGCCTAACTGTAAGCTCCGGAGTTTTCCTCAGCCCTATAAAGCTTCAGAGGTTATTTTAAGGATAAAGATAAATAAATAAATACTCATCTCCGAAATCTCCCTAATGACAACAAACTTGACATATGAAGTTAATCTAAGTGCTAAGAATCAAATCAACTGACATCGGATTGCCGATGCGGAACTTGTCAAACGCAAACATCAAAGTCTCACAGGGAACAATAGCGGTACCGGTATGCTTCCAACAATTTTGAATTGTCGCAGTCGTAACATCCACCCACGCCTTGGTTGACCACGTCATTGCCTGGAGTACACTGGCACTGTAAAAGATCTTGGGTTTCTTCGTCATCGCATCGTCGGACACTCTCGCCTCCATCGAATTCACAATGTTGATAGCACGGTCCAACTGTCGGCGGCGGTAATGCACCTTGACCACTTCCTGTTACATCCATTATCGTTTCGTGTTACAAAGGATATTATTTTATACCAGTTTGCAAAAATCGGGGGATGACTGTACTGTATATATTTTTATTCCGCCAATCTAATCTGCAAATGAGAGAATCTCTCATTTGCAGGGGCCAATAGAAATGGAGTAAGTCGAAATATTTGTAGTGGTACAATGTGATTGGCTTAAGCTATGAATTTACTCGAGTATGATTGGCTCTTCTGCAAATGAGACTATTTCTCATTTGGAAAACCTCCCGTCCGAGCCAGTTAATGCCTAAAATACTTCTGTGTCCGAAGCTCTGTCCAAATTGTTTTCACGTCCGAGTCGTTATGGTATGGGTATCAAAACATTTTAATAAATTTCGATGGTTCCAGTCCTTGGGAAACAATATCATTGGTTTACAATTGGCTTAAATAATTCAAGTTTGGACCAATCATCATACCTGTGTCGTTATAGTGTACATGTCGCAATATTAACCGAAGCGACTTCAATGATGATTCTGACATCGCCAACCGATTCAGATTCCGGAAGGGGGTTTACCCCGAGAACCCTCCTGCAGACTTCAACGAGCTTGGGAAACCCACACACAACATACTGTATCCACAAATTAGTGTTGACGTATTGTCACTTTCCAGACCCCGTCGAAGACAAATTCCCCGAGTAAGTGAGTGGCGCACCCACTCAATTGGCCAAATACCCATTCACTCAGGGAATTTGGTACTATTGACCTAAAACGTCCCTGAGACAATCCTAACAGTACTGTAAAGTACAATCCTAACATTAAACACCATTACGAAGGCCTACAACGTTGTACAACGTACCAACGGTGAATACTACTTCGAAATACTATTGTGCTTTTCACTCGTTTTGGCTATTCACACCATAAACCTGGGTGTTTGTTACATAGACCCCAGTGTTTTAGATACAGCGAACCGGGGAGAAACTGGGCCCCCCCAAGAAACTCGACCACCTCTAAAATGTGATGTATTTTTATTTAAAATACACTCATCGTTAAACTGAATAAATAGTCAGCCAATCAGATTTATTTGACTAAGATGGCTGTGATCGGACATTTCAAAATCAACCACGCTCACCATTTCAAAAACATCACTTTCAAACCATCCTTCAAACCTTCCTTGCAGCCGATCTCACGCCACCACGCCGGCACCAGCAATTGTACACCCTGGCAAAAAAACAAGCGCACCTTGCTCAATTCGATGGGCTTGGTGTCAGCAGCCGTAAGTTTTGTATGGAGAATGGCATTCCACGGACACATGGACCATCTGGATGACACTCCATGCGAAGCTTACGGCTGCTACAAGCACGCGAAACGGCCGGCGCTCGGCGGACAAGGCGCCAAGGGCCATGATCCCTTTCAAGTACGACTTGCTCACGTTCATGAAGGATGCGCGTCGCAATCAGCACATCCTTACCTCAATGCACATGATAAACTTCTCGAAGACCTATCTCAAGGCTTGGATGGATACGTATGTCGACGGAAACGTGGACCCCTACAAGTCACTCCTACGCTTGTGCCAGTCGTTTGCCACACGTCACCGCTTTTCGAAACTCATACCATACTACACGAAGCTCCCAGAACTCGACATGGCGCTCATCCTGAATGACTTTGCGGCGACGTTTTGAAACAAGTACAACGACCAAATTATCCGCCACAATATCAACGCGGATGAGACGGCCGTTTACTACGAAATGCCACCCGGCAAGATAATCGGCAAGTCATCATAGGTTGATGTGAGGAAGAAAGATTCTGTCCGACTCACTGTTATGTTGTCCTGCCGTGCCACGGCGCACTACTCATGTGATATTGTTTGGAAATTTTAGTGTAGGATCGAAATTACATATCCTTTTCAACGTGCATGGTACTTCTGGTGGCCCGATTGACTAGCACGAGCTTGCAACGTATCCCAGCGGACACTACTACGATGTGCAAAAGTGTGGGTGGATGAATGGTTGTGTGTGGTGGACGTATCTTGACATGCTACAGTATGAGATACATGGACCCACCGTCATCTTGGTGTACAATTTCGACGCTCGCGTTACCCAAGACTCGTCATAGTCAATTGCTCATGACTTGTGTAGTGTGCTAGAGCCGCTCCCTCCCAAATACACCGGCGTGTGTCAACCGTTAGAGGTTGGCGTCATGGTTCCATTCAAGAAAATGCACTGCACCTGTGGCTCGAAGAAACCCCCGTGGTCACTGCAGGTGAAAAGCGCTTGGCCATGATCAAGCGATCGATCAAAGCCTGGGATAGGATTTCTGCCGACGCGATCAAGAAGTCCTTTGTAAAAGCCATTCCTCGACCGGAAATAGTTTTAGTATAATTACTACGTAATATGTCTAGTAATTGTGTGTGCGAAGGACTTCGTTGTTTGTATGCTATTTTCGGCGTCTTAATCTAAGGTTTCACAAATATGCAACAAGTTTCCCTTGTAACGTTACATGAATTTTAGCCAATCAGACATTGATTGATTTTTGCGTTTATTTGATTTTGGTCCATAGACAACTGTACAACAGGAATTGTATCCACACCATGCCCAGTTTCTCCCCGGTTCACTGTAATCCGCACCGTGATTTAGGATGTCACGTTTCGTTACAGAGTGGTATAGGGAGGTCATTTATGCATTAACCAGAAAAAGCAAGGTGAAATAGGCAATTTTGTATGAAGCTCAAGGTGGATCACCTTGCGAATTCCATAAATAATTCTGAAATTGTATAATTTCAATTAAATATATCTTCAAGTTTGTATTGTTTAATTTTATGTTGCATGTGTCTGTCTGTTTTTGGAATTCGCAAGCCAGGTCACCTTGCGAATTCAAAATTGTCGTCCAATTTTGTCCAATCAGATACCGTGAAATCACGAAAATCAGTGCGTAGATACATCACGTCCTGCTGCGATATATTCTACTCCTGTGATGGCGGTTGATGCAAGGAGCCTTGAGATAATTATGTAGGCTGTGTATGAGAGCAAGATCATGTGATGTGGTATTAAGGACTCGGTCAATTCAAACAGGTCTCATTTCACCACTTGCCTACTAACCCAATGAAATTGGTCATCCCTCATTCCACCATCCAGCCCGTGTCGGTGCCGTACACCTCCCTGCCGGTGCGATCACGTGGTTGCGCGGACGATGGCGCAAGACGTCTTAGTGGCACCCATCGCAAGTGCTGAAGTGGCGGATTTAGCACTTTGCGATGAGTGCTACCAAGACCTCTTGCGCCACCGCGTTGGCCCGCCAGAGCCACCACGGCATTGCGACCCAACCGAGCGCACAACATAATGTTAGCTGTAAGGGGAGAATAACATTGGATATAGTCGGAGTACACTCATCAGTGCACAATTCTCTGGAGCAGCATCACACAAAGCTCTACAAAATTCAAGCGTCCAAACAGTTCAAAATTGGAACATCTTCTGTCAGTGTTATAGCCAATCGTGTGTAAGAAGAAAGGTGTGATGGACTCTGATTGGATATTAAAAAGGAGCAAGGTGGCTGCTGCTCACCTTGTGAATTCCATTAACAAGTCAACTCACTCGTTTTTGCACATTTGAAAAGTGCAAATCGAAGTTATATCTGCTATTCTCGGGACATCATCATGAACAACTTTTGATATTACAAATGACACATTGCGCCGAAGTTCTACCGTACAGCGATGTACGTATGGTGCCACATCGTAGAAAACCACGCCATCTTCTTGTTCCATCGCGTAGTACATGCAGGCAGGCATGCTACCTGCATGTACACCCAGGTTTATGGTGTGAATAGCCAAAACGAGTGAAAAGTACAATAAGTTACACAGTATTATTTTATGTAAGCTGCACCATTGCTGGTAGTAATTCGAGGTAAGTCCTCCGAGTAGTAACAGTTAAATTGGATTTTGAATACAGTACAGTACCTCATCACTTAAACTAAGCTTAATAAGCTTAAACCATACTATACAAGGCGGCAGTAGCCATGAGTAGTCTATCGGGGAAATGCTATTAAAAGTAAGCTTAGTATACCACACAAGGCGGCCACGGCCATGAGAAAGTAGCATATCAGGGAAATGCTATTAATGTCGCTAGGCTTAGTGGAAATGATATCATTACACGAACGATGAAAGCATATTTCCACAACTACAAATGTTCCTTATACTTCGAAGTATCTTCGGAGCATCAACCTACACAAGCAACTACCTAGTACTTCAATACTTGCCCCTCCAATTTTTGTACAGTGTACAGTATTCCCTTGTATTCAACTTTCAGATTGCTACGCGTAGACTCAGTTGGTTGTCGGGGTTCCGGTAATATCGTTACGTAGAATATACTGTATATATTTGATGGGCACAATCGGATTCGACATCGTTTACACTATGCATGGCAGCAATGGGGTACAATTCCATAAATGTGGAAGTGATTGCGATATTTTTGAGTTGAGTTCTTTGAGTTCGGTGTAAATTGAATTAGTGTGATTCTGCATTCAGTATTGGATTAAATATACTAATGTACTACACGTAGTATAACGTTAGTCGTCGACGAAGGGCTTAGTTTAGGACAGCGCAACTACTACTACTACGTAGGATTTTACATTCACACAAACTCAAATATTCTGTTAATGTGTATTTCAAAGCACAAATTAATACTACGTCACACTACAGCCCCCCGCCCGCCCCTAAAATTATACACTATGTATGTACAAATATGTAGTTGGGATTGGGGCTGTGTTCGGTTGGTAATAATTTATATACTACTCCCTCTGTTCCAAAATAAGTGCGCGAAGCAGGAAGTTGATGTATGCCTCCTCCAATAATAATACAAAACACTCCAACCTTCAATATGCATTTATACAGGTGTAACGATACATTGGGCCAATCAGAGGATGCCAAATCCGTGTCTCAGGACGAATCAAATGGCGACTTTCAGTAATTCTGACACT